TAATACAAGAGGTTCCCTCTCAGCTGGCTGCTGTAAGAAGTGACAGGTTTTTCAGAAACTGTTTCAGTGTTCTCAAGCCTTTGCAAAGCAAATGTTGTCATGTTAGCTGTATTGAGGATGCCTTGAAATGGTAGGAAAAGTACCACTGTTATTCCTGCCTGACCAGAGTGAGCTGACAGCCCTCAGAGGGAGGACCGTTTCCATAAGCCTCAGTTTCCCCTTCTGTAAAGTGGCTCTACTTGGGCTCCCTTGGCTTGTGTTTCATTAAGTCTGAAAGCCTGTGAACCACCCCTGAGGGTTCAACCGTGGTGATGCTGTGTACAAAGGCAAAGATGTAGGAACCAAAATTATGTCACACAAACAGGATCCACACCTGTTCTAGAAACCCTCTGGTTTTGAGGTTGCCATTGCTTCTTTGCCTGACTGCCCCTGTGTTACGATTAAAGTCTCTTTATTCAAGAAGACACCAGGGCAAAGCACAGGCCAGAGCTAGGTTATAGAACCCAGCAAGCTCGGCCAGAACAAAAGGGGCCCGGGTCCCCATGTGCAGCCCCTTAAGAAGCTCCCTTACGTCACACCGGCTTTCCTTCACCACGCCCTTATGGGCGAGTCCCGGGTCCACCTGGTACCTGTCCCAGGACTATTGGGCGGGGCTAGGGTGTCTCCCTACACCCCTGAAGCCGCCCTTTCCTCCTGAGATTAGGTCTACAGATGTTGATGGATTACACGCTGTTATTTCCAGCCACAGGGCTTCTGAATCCCACCTTGTGGAACTCACAACGAGGCAGTGAAGTCAGGACTATTCCCAGAGATTTATTTCCTAGATTGGTCATTCCCAGACCATGATCTCCGGACCAGTAGCATCAAAGTCACCATCCAACTTGTTAGAAAGTTGAGTTTTCGAATGCCTCTCCAAACTCACCGAGTGGGCAGCTCTAGGGAGGCGGGCTCACCAACCTCAACTTTTAAGACACCCTGCGGGGAATCAGGGTGCGTGCTCAAGCCTGAGAGCCACTGAACTAGCCCTCTAGGGACACGCTGAACTGGTCTGAGGCCTCCAGGGTAGGCTGCTAGAAGATGATTTCAGCTCAGAGCTACAACTCTCTTGGAACCTCTAACCACAGTTTGGACCACTGTAGTATTTTTTTGTCAAATGTCCCAAGCATTGTGGGAACTACCCGTTTGTTTTGATGGGAACTGATCCAGTTTAGCACACAATTCCACATGGACCTTTCAGGATTTTATTCAAATTGTGATGCTCGGTGGGATGTTGATGCTGTAAGACTCACAAAAAAAAAAAAAAAAAAAAAAAAAAAAAAATCTGAGTCTGAGCAAAAGCCCTCGCTACCAAATGTTTCCAGGAGAAGTGAACTTCAATAGCTTAGTCCTCTGTGATATCTCCTCATTGTGACTCTCTATGGTGAGGTCAAAGCCAGATTCCCTGATCTCCCCGGCAGGTAGAGACCATGGGACGGTTATCCCAGAAATAAGTTCAGACTTACTTGGAGTGGGTAGGGAGGTGTGGCTTTTGAGGGGGGACTGTCCTGGGCCATCCTGACAGTGTTTAGCTCCAGCCTAGGGCCAAATGCTAGGTCCTGGGCCCCTTCAGGAAGATGAGGAGTGAATGTAACTCTCAGGCAGGCTCAGCCTTTGGGTCTCAAAGCTTCCCCTGTGTTTAGTCCCCCTGCCCTCTTTGGGTGTGTATACAGATGCCTATGTCTAGTGCCAACTGAGCAGCTATAAGCTCTGGACCACTCTTGCCCAGCCTTGAGCTGTGTGTGAGGGCTGAGGAGGGAGGGAGCATTGACAATGCTTGCATTTGCAGCTATTACCTGTTGGCTCCTTGTTCACAGCTGCCCTGAGAGGTGGCTCTTTTTCTGAATTACACAAGACTCACAAAGACTCTTCAGCATCTCTGTTTTCTCATCTCGGCAATGGGTACGATTCTAGCACTCTTCTCAGTAGCTTGTTCTGAGAGTGAAATTGGGCCGACGATGAAATCACACTCGAAAGACTTTAGAACATCTTGTGGATGTCAGATTTCTGCTGTCATCATTTATGGGTCTAAAGGCAGTTTGTGGGGAACCTGTGTTCAGAGAAGCTCACCTTGTACATGCCTGGGCTCTCAGTATTGGGCTTGGATGTTATATGGAAATATGGTATGTGTAGCTTTCTGCCAGGCTACTGACATTGGGGGTACCCCCTCTTCTCAGACCGTTGTACTTGTATGGCTGCAATGAGGGGGTGTGCGTGCCAGCTCTGTGTGACAAGTCACCACCTGGCGAGCTGGCCTGGACGGGATGACTTCACAGGCCTTCCCACTTACCGAATTTATGACTGGCTTCGCCGTCTCATTTTTTGGCCTCCTCTCTCATTCTTGCAGCTGTGGTGGTCGGGATTTGGGGGGGGCACTTGGGGTCTTTTTTTCTAATCCCTTTCAAATCCTGCCTGAGCTGCAAAATCCAGGAAGGGCATGAAGAAGGGGGAAGGAGAGGATTACCCGGCCTCGAGGCAGCATTATTGGTATATTTTCTTCTGAGCTAAGGAAACAGCTGTAGCTTGTGAGTTCATGAAGAAAGCCTGTGGCTGGGAAGATGGCTCTGTTGGTGAAAGGCTTACTGCAAATGCGTGCAAACCTGTTTGGGTTTCCAGCACCCACCTAAAAGACTGGGCATGGCTACACACGTCTCTAACCCTGTGGCAAGGGAGATGGGCGGATCTCTGGCCAGCTAGTCTAGCCAATTGATAAACTCTGTCCAATTGGTTCAGTGAGAGACCAGCCTCAAAAAGTAAGGTAGAGAGCAACAGAGAAGGATCTGGCTCTGGCCTCCACACGCTCACACGTACATACACAAACCCAAACACATGCACACGTGTAAAATAAAGATACAGTGAGTTGTTTTGACTCAGAGTTTCTGTGAGTCAGCAATGCCTTTTTCGCTGTTAAACACCCAAAGAGGCACAAGGCGTTTATGATAAAGAAACGTATGTGTAGATTGTGTCTCTCTTCTGGCCTCTGACTCTTTTTTGTTTGTTTGTTTGTTTTATTTTTGTTTGTTTATTTTGTTTTTTGAGACAGGGTTTCTCTGTGTAACAGCTCTGGCTGTCCTGGAACTCACTCTGGAGACCAGGCTGGCCTTGAACTCACAGAGATCCGCTTGCCTCTGCCACCCCAATGCTGGGATTAAAGGCGTACGCCAACATTGCCAGTCTCTGGCTCTCTTCTTTAAAAGTCACAGAGCTCAGTCACTGCTCCAAGGACATAGTCAATCTTAATTCCTAGCAAAGGTCTGACCTCTGGACACCATAGCTTCGTCAAGCCTCTATTCTCCTCGAGTTTCACAACAGGGCTTAACTCTAGACACAAACCACATCCAAACAGCAGCAGGTTATCACCTCCCTCTCTCAGGAATCCCAGCAGTGGATTGGGTCATGTACCTGGAGCCTTTGCTAGACTCAAGCTCGACTGGCCTTCTTTTCCAGGCTGAGGGCTTAACTCAGGGTCTTGTGCATGCTCTACCACCGAGCTATATCCCCAAATTCTGTGTCAGCTGATTGCAATCACGAAATTTCTCTACAAGAGATGTTACAAAATATGCGAGGATGCCACACCATCTCTGACCTGTGTCCAGATTTCTGAGTCTGGATTGGAAGGTCTTTGAGAGTTGGCTTCAGAATACTCCCAACTAATCCTGACCAGTAATTCCCAGTATTCCCTGTGTTGTGACCCACCACATTCATCCTGGCTAGGGCTTTGCTCATGAGCCCCTTTCCATGTATCTTTCAGGCCAAACATTCTATATTCACAAGGCAGCTCAGGTCTCATCTGTTCTCAGTCCTCGATACCTCATACACACCCTCTCTCTCTAGTTCTGTTTGGGGAAAAAAAAAAAGATGTGTTTATTTTTATTTTATGTGTGTTTTGATTGTGTGTATGCCTGTATACGTGCATACCTTGGCCCTCAGAGGCCAGAAGAGTGTGTCAGATCTCCCTGGAATTAGAATGACAAACAGTTTCATTAGCCACTGTGTGAGTGCTGGGAATTAAACCCAGGTCTTGTGCAAGAACAGCCCGTATTCTTCACTGCTGAGCCATCTCCCCAGGCTCACTGCTGTTTTCCTAATCTCTTGTTAGAAACTCAGTTTAACACTGTGGCTTTGGAGGCTGTCCTGGAACTAACTCTTGTAGACCAGGCTGGTCTCGAACTCACAGAGATCCGCCTGCCTCTGCCTCCCGAGTGCTGGGATTAAAGGCGTGTGCAACCAACGCCTGGCTCATGTATCTTCATCTTTTACTACCCTCTTAGCTCCGTCTTCCAGAACAAATTGCTAGTCATTTGATATGGGACCCTCTTAAGCATTTTGCAGTCTTTGGAATGCCCTGTCAAACTTAAGAACCCGTGCCACAAATAGTAAAATAATTTTGACTCTTATAAAGGGTTTGGCTGAAACCGCATTGGTGACTTTGTAGATTTATCTTGCAAAAAGAAATTCTGTGTGTGGTTAAGGGTCATGATTGTCTAGTATGCACAGATATGCCTAAGAACCTCCCTGATAAGAATAAAGCTGGATTTTGGAGGCTCTAAAGGTGACCCTGAGTCACAGGGTTTTACGTAAGAGCCAATCTGCATGGGGTCCTTACCTCTTGTCACCGTTTTTTTGGTCAGCTTGGCACAAATGTATACATACCTGGGAAGAGAGAAACTCAACTGAGGACATTTTCTTAAAAGCCGATTGATGTGGGAGGGACCAGCCCGCTGTGGGCAGTCCCTGGGAAATACAGCCCAAGCTAGATAAGAGAAGTCGCTGAGGAAGCCCGGGGATGCAAGCCAATAGGTAGCATTTCCCCACAATCTCTGCCTTGGCTTTCCTTGATCTTGAACTATAACCTGTAAGCCAAATATCCCCACGTTACTTTTGGCCAGTGTTTTATTACAGAAACAGAAAGGAAAATCTGAACACCTCCCCTCTGATACTTGTGACCTCTGCTCTTCCCCCAGAGAGCTCCTGTGAGAACAAGCGGGCAGATCTGGTGTTCATCATTGACAGCTCCCGAAGCGTCAACACCCACGACTATGCCAAGGTCAAGGAGTTCATCCTGGATATCCTGCAGTTCTTGGATATCGGGCCCGACGTTACCCGAGTAGGTCTGCTCCAGTATGGCAGTACGGTCAAGAACGAGTTCTCCCTGAAGACTTTCAAGAGGAAGTCTGACGTGGAGAGGGCTGTCAAGAGAATGAGGCATCTGTCCACAGGCACCATGACAGGGCTGGCCATCCAGTATGCTCTCAACATTGCCTTCTCAGAAGTAGAGGGGGCCCGGCCCCTGCGGGAGAACGTACCACGGGTCATAATGATCGTGACCGATGGGAGACCTCAGGACTCGGTGGCAGAGGTGGCCGCAAAGGCCCGGGACACAGGCATCCTGATCTTTGCCATTGGTGTGGGTCAGGTGGACCTGAACACGCTAAAGGCCATCGGGAGTGAGCCCTTCAAAGACCACGTCTTCCTGGTGGCCAACTTCAGCCAGATTGAGTCTCTGACATCGGTGTTCCAGAACAAGTTGTGCGGTAAGTCCTGTGCCCCTGTGCTTTAAGGCCTCATTCTGTGCTCGTGGTCATGGGCTAAGAGAAATGCATCATTCTTCGGTGGGTTACGCTGTTAAGTACATAATTACACAAATACAAAAATAGCCTCAATTGTTAACAGAGTAATGGAGGAAGAATTCAGGGCATGGAGTGATGGAAAAACCCCAGGGCCTAGTCTAGGCCATGGTGTTATAAAGGCTTACCTAGAAGAAAGGACCTGTGTGTACGCGTGTGTGAGGGGGTGTGTGCACATGTGTTGAAGGTGGAGGACTGTTTACAGGAGTTGGCTCTCTCTACCTTATGGGTCCCGGGATTTGTAAACTCAGATCATCAGGCTTGGTGACAGGTCCCTTTAGTTGACAGCCCCCAAAGGACATTTAAACACAAAAGGCAGAATGAGCAAGGCTAGAGTGAAGGATTCTTCCCACACGTTTAGCTGACACGTTGGCATTCCCGAAATTGGAACTTGTGAGCTGTAGCAGGGATAGGAGCAGAAGGTGGAAATTGTAAGAGCTTCCCCGTGGATTGTGTGGGAGACCAAGGAATCTTTGCTGCGTGATGGTGTGAGCAGCAGATGCTTTGTTAGCCGACAAGGAGACAAATTGCACTGAAGAACTTAGGGCCAACTGCAAAGCCTCGTGATGCAATGCTTAGAGGAAAGGAAACAAAATGTACTTAGAGACATTTTTAAAAACTCTTTCGACACGAAGTCTCAGTAACCCAGACTGGCTTCAAACTCTCTGTGTAGTGGAGACTGACCTTGATTTTTTTTTTTCCCTCTTCTTGCTTCTACCTCCCACATGTCAGGATTACCGGTGTGTGCCAACATGATGCCTGGTTTGTGTGGGGGCTGGTGGTGAAGCCCAGAGCTTTGTACACGCTGGACAGGCACTCTCCTGACTGAGCGAGCTACATCTCCAGCCCCAGAGTGTACTTTTGATGTGTCTTAAAAAAACAAAAAAAAAAAACAAAAAAACAAAAAAAAAAACCTTGCAAGAACTAACTTCAAAAAGCAAAGACTCCATTTTCTCTTGACTCCAGAGTCAAATGATTTACTTAAGAAATCAATGCCATGAAGGAAAAATAACCTTCTCCTGAGCGATGTCAGTTGGAAACCGTTCAGAAGTGCCATTTCCCTGGCGCCACAGAGAGGCCCCATTGTTGTGGTGCACTGTGCCCTACATCAGCTGGAAAACTTTAATCAGGAGAACACGCTGCAAACATTTTAAAGGTTTATGACTTTCAGTGACTTCAGCAGGATTTATGCCCCCCTTTTCCTGGAAATATTTAAAAAAAAAAAAGAAAGAAAGAAATTGGTTCTGTAACACTCTCGACAGCTCCTTCGTGTGGAATAGACGGTTTTAGTGGAGGGGTGCTTTTACAAGCAATTCGTGTTGGTCAGCAAATGGAAAGACGATAGGATAAGACGGAGGAGCCGTGGGGCACTGATGACCCCCATGCATGCATGTGGATGAATGTGGACTTAGCTCAGAGAACCTTTCTTGTGGGTTTTAGGCCATTCAGCAAAATTAAAAGGCAGTTTGGATGCTGTCCCCTCCCCCCATCATCTTTGTTTAATCTGGAAGCCTGAAGAAAACCCTGGGTTATCTCGTTCCTTTGTGTGGCCTGAGAAATGAACCCCCTGGGACTGCTGGCATCCACTTTGCTGAAATACAGCTGAGCCCCGGGCCCTGCAGGCTCTGCCGATCAACTATCTTGAAAGATTGAGGAGGCTCCAGAGCCTCTTTATCAACCACGCGCTAAAGACCACAGTAATTAACGTTCCTTAAGCATTTCCCCTTGTGCCTTTTCATTTGGTGCTGGTGAAAACCGGGGAGGCAGGACGGACCGCACCACCCTCCCTTCTTACAGGTTAGCAAGTTTGCTGGCTCCAAAGTCCCTGCTCTTTTGACTCCTTCACAGCCTAGGAATTAATAGATTCCTCTCAGGATGAACCACTTACTGAGGATAGCCCCCACAGGGAAAGCGGCTCAGCCATTGGTATTCGCCTGATGAGGGTGAAATTGGGAAGGGACGTCTGTGTAGGACCAGGGCAGGACTGGCTGTGTGATGCTGCCTAAGCCCTTTGGGCTCCTTCAGCCTCCGTTACCTCATCTGCAAGGTGGGGATTTCACAGGCAGGCAGATATGGTGCCCCAGTCACTCTGCATGCACTGTTACAATCTGATGCACTCGGGAGCCACACAGACCCCATCACTTGGTGTCTGTTTTATCTGCCTGGCTGGCGTTTTGGAACCCAGGACAAGGCTGTTCCTACCCTAACAGCCCCTTCCCACTCAGGCACAACTTAAGGCATTAATAGTGTTCTGAAGGCAGAGCCTTCATCAGCAGGACTGGACAAAGGCCACACTGATTTCACCCTGTTGAGAATGGGGAGAGTGCTGATTTACATGCTCAGTAATTCTTCCTGTTGAGACCTCCTCACCCCCACCCCAATCAGCTAAACTGAGCAGAACGCTCCCCTGATCACTCACAGGATTGAAAAAAAATACTTTTCTCAAGCAAGCTGGGTGTGTGGTGGTGCAGATCTATCATCCCAGCACACGGGTGGCTGAGGCAGGAAGATGGTGACTTCTAGGTCTGCCCGAGCAATGTAGCAAAACTCTTTTGATAAGCCAAAATAAACAACCCTGCCTCAAAATTTTAGCTGTTTATATTTTCTTTCTTTTTTTTTCCTTTTTCTTTTCTCTTCTTTCTTTCAGACAGGACAGCACTATAGAGGGCTGACTTGTAAGTCACACATCTGCCTGCCTCTGCCTTCTGAATGCTGGGATTAAAAGCGTGAGCCACTATGCCTAGCTGGGTTCATATTTTATAATTATGCATACACACACATATATACATACACACACATATATATACATACATACACACATATATATACGTACATATACATACACACAGATATATATACACACATTATATACATACACACATATATACAAATACAGATATACATACACACATACATACACACACAAACATACACATACACATACACATATGTATTCCTGTGGTCTGGGGATGTGACTCAGTACTTTCTTGGCTCTGGGTTACATCTGCAGTAAAACCAGGCCTGGCAGTAGAACCAGCAACCCCAGCACTCAATAGACAGACGCAGGAGGATCAGGAGGTTCAGTTCAGCTTTGACTATAATCCAGTTCTGTACACCACAAAGCAAGTAAATAAACACATACATTTAAAAATCTAAGCCAGGTGGTGGTGGCTCACGCCTTTAATCCCAGCACTTGGGAGGCAGAGGCAGGCGGATCTCTGGTCTATAAAGCAAGTTCCAGGACAGCCAGGACTGCTACACAGAGAGATCCTGTCTTGAAAAGCCAAAGTAAATAAATAAAAATAAAATAAATAAGAACCCAGTGCTAACACTGATTTAGACTAATGATTTATTCTTTCCTCTGAATAAAAAACTTGATCAGGTTTAAACCTGTTACTTTCTGAGGAATGAGGCTAACTGGCTCACATAGTTGAGCCTCAGTGAAATGTGCACGGTACCACTTCCCCTTCAACGGCACAGCACAGGCCTGTCTTAGAGATGGGGAGGCACAAGACCCAGATGCACTCAGCACCCAGCCATAGGATGTCACAATTTTTACTCTGTCCAGTAAAAATGTTTGGGATTCTTTTGGTTGAAAGTGATGGAAATTCAGCTGGGCATTAGTGGCGCATGCCTTTAATCTCAGCACTCAGGAGGCAGAGGCAGGGGGATCTCTGTGAGTTCGAGGCCAGCCTGGTCTACAGAGTGAGTGCCAGGATAGGCTCCAAAACAATATAGAGAAACCCTGTCTCGAAAAACAAAAACAAAAGCAAACCACCACCACAACAAAAGAAAGTGACGGAAATTCAACTTGAGTTGGGTCTAGTGGTTCATTTAAGTTAGGAACCAATCCTGGAGAATGATTGCCTCCCTTCCAGGGGACATGTTGGAGCATCCTCAGCACAGCATTATCAAAGTAAAGATTAGAAACCTCCCCCATGCTGACCAACAGGCAAATGTCTAAGTAAAATGAGAAATGACCATTGGGCCACTGGATAAAGCCAGCAGAGTTCAGCTAGGGCCGCCAGCTGATTTGATTGCAATCAAAAAGGTTAAGTTGGAGCTCGGATCCAGTCTAGGACAGAGTTGGTTTTCATTGTCCAAGGTGATTTTGCTCTGTGAAGTTACTGTGAACACTGAATTAATGAACGTGGAATTATTTCTCTTATGCAAAATACAGGCAGGATTGGTTCCAGTCTGCCTCTCTCTGGTCACCTGGCATTTTTATCGGCTGATCAATATATAATCTACTCAGAGACAACAGATTTAATGTTATAGTTGACTCACTAACCTTGAGCCCATGGCCAGGAATGACCCTAATGTATTCTTATTACAGGATATTAGATCACACTGAGAATCCCGAGACTGTGTTGTTTACTTGAAAAACCTCTTTCTAGTTGTGGTGTGGTTCAGCCCTAGCACACACCTTTAGTCCAAGAGTTTTCTGCTTGGATATTGCAAACAGGATTAAATAAAGTCAACCACAGGTCAAGAGCGGAGCAAGCAACTAGTTGACAGGAAGTGAACATAGGATTATTAAGAAAAAAAACCATAGAGAGTAGGAAGGAGTCAGGAGGATGGATAGAGAGACACACAGGAAGTAGGAGGAGAAACACTGAGTTTGAAGAGATTTGTTTGGAGACAGTAGGAGAGAGGGGAGGTTTCAGGGATGTTGGCTGAGGAGGGGGGTTAGCTGGGTGCTTTCTCTGCCCCTCTGAGCTAACAGGCTTTTACCTCAGCATCTATCTCCGGAGTCTTCATCGGTAAAATTGAAGGATTGAGATTTTGTTAAAACACACACACACACACACACACACACACACACACACACACACACAATCTAGATTGAAACGTCTTTTAACATATCCATTTTCCTAAAAGGATGTATTGTAGCTTTTTTGTACTCAGTTGGTCATTTCATACAGAAAAATTAGCTACAAAACCCACAAAAATGTTAAAAAGCACAGTGCTGCCTGGACTATGCAAACAGTTTCCTATGAAGCAATGCTACCTTGTTCAAGCCAGCCCAGGCTGTCCAGATCAGGGGACATACGGTTGGTACCTCTCAACAGCTCACTGGATGCCCGTGAAAGTGCTGAGTTGAACTGGGGTTACAAGTATACTCCGGTGACAGTCGAATTCACAAATAGGGGATCTGGGAATAATGGGGGTCCAGTGTGTATGGCTTTGAAAATAGAGCACATTTTGGATTCTGTGAAATACAGTGCTCTTGAGTCAAAACGGATAGAATTTGTGATTAATGTTGACTGAAAACCCAAGTCAACAGATAGGTAGAGATACAGGTATAGATGATGTTCCCAAAGTGTGTCAAATTAAACATCGTGGTGATACCTTGATGGGCAGATGGCTCAGCAGTCAGGAGTACTGGCTGCTCTAACAGAGGACCTTGGTTGAGTTCCCAGAGCTCCATGGCAGTTCCCAGCCATCTGTAACACCAGTTCTAGAGGATTGGATGCCCTCTTGTGGCCTCCTCAGGCTTCAGGCCCACATGTGGTGCACAGACAGGCACGCAGGCAAAACACTCACACACAGAGAATAAAAAAAAACAACAAAAACCACCCTGATACTTTTCCTTTGCTATGAAATGGTTAATAGGTATTAAGTATTCCCTAGGCATTGAGCAATGTGCTGGCCACTTTATCAAGTTAGTTAACCCGCACAAGGCCCTTATGAGGTTGGTGCAGTGTTTATCATCATTTAATATAGAGATTAAAATTATCTCAGGGTCAAAAAAAGGTCACCTAATTCACCCTGTAGTAAATATGGTTGAATTCAGCCTACAACTTCCCTTATGTGATTTGTATCCTAACAGGAGCTAAGACAGTTATGAGCTTGGAACAATATGTTTCCTTCCCCCCTTCCCTCTCTACCCCCTTCCCCTCCCCCTCTCTCTTTCTCTCTGTCTCTCTCTCTGTCTTTCTGTCTCTCTCTCTCTCTCTCTCAAGACATAGACTTTCTCTATGTAGCCCTGGCTGCCCTGGAACTCACTCTGTAGACCAGGCTGGCCTCAAATTCACAGAGATCTGCCTTCCTCTGCCTCCCCAGTGCTGGGATTAAAGATGTGCGCCACCACCCGGCACGGTTTGCCTTCTTACAGCATGACCCACAGAGACGGGCTCTCAGATCACCCCACCAAAGGAAAATACTCCACAGGCGAGTCTGGTGGGTGCATTTCCTCAGCTAAGGTTCCCTCTTCCCAAGGGACTCTAGCTTATGTTAGGTAAACATGAAACTAGCCAGCACGCTTGGCCATAGCATTCCTTACTTATGTAAAGAGGTGTGCGTGTGTTAAAGACCAGCTGTGATGGACTACTCCCTACCTACTGGGTAAACACAGACAGGGTCACTCTTGAACATCCCCTTTATTGTATAAGCTTCAGGAAGCTATTTTCTCATTTGGACATCTTTTGTTTATGAGAACACTTACATAATGTGTTCTGTTAACACCAATGCTTGTTAATTTTAAATGTGCTCGAGTTGTGCTGGATTGATTAAAGTCATAAACCAAGATGTTTAAACCACACACACACACACACACACACACACACACACACACCAAGAATTGCATGTGCTCCAGACAGCTTATGTAAGAATCGGTGTGCCTGAAGCTTAGGTGTTTTCAGAAACCAAATGCAGAAATATTTAATGTTGAGGCGTTTCATAGTTTTGGCATTATGAAACATTTAAATGCATTGTTATCCCCAAATTTTTTACACTTAATGTAGATTTAAAAGCACATCATTCTTAGGACTTGTGATCTTGGGGGATTGTGGCCTCCTCAGCACATCCTTATTGAATCAGTAGATTTCCCCCCAGCTCGGCTACTGCCCACGCAAGATTCTGTGTTTCTCATGTTTCTGCCTGTCGAATGGCGTTATAAAGCTGAAGCTGAAATTTCTGGATTTGTAGGTCCAAAACCATACAGATATCAGCCATTTCATACGGTCCAGCCTAACGTCCGCCCCCTTTCATCTTGCATGATGATCCTTGTGTTTGTTTTGTGTTTTTGAGACAGGGTTTCTCTGTGTAGCCTTGGCTGTCCTGGAACTCACGCTGTAGACCAGGCTGGCCTCAAACTCAGAGATCCAGCTGCCTCTGCCTCCCATGTGCTGAGATTAAAGGCGTGCGCCACCACTCGTTGCTGACATATTTATCTTTCTTGTCAATTTAGCAGCGCCACCCCACCTGCTGACAGGGGCAGCAGTTTGTTTCTCTTTGGGTTCAGCCCTCTGCTTCACAGGCTCCTGATGCACGTTTGCTGGGTAGAAGGAAGCCAAGGGAAGGCGTCACTGCTCACGCTCTTTGTCTTCCTTTGCAGCGGTGCACATGTGCAGCGTCTTGGAACACGACTGTGCCCACTTCTGCATCAACACGCCTGGCTCATACACCTGCAGGTGCAAGCAAGGGTACATCCTCAACTCGGATCAGAAGACTTGCAGAAGTAAGGCCGCTTGGCGGATGTGTCAGTCTTGCTTGCTCTTTAGCTAGGTGCGTCTTATTCACCCACAGTTCCTCTCCCAACCTACTTGCCACCTCCTCAAGGCTGGAAACAGGTTTTGCATTTCCTGGTAGCTCCCCCCGGTCCCGCCATCACAGTGCCTAAGCCTGGTGCATGGCAGGCCACCAGGCAGTGTGTGAAAGTTTGAGGCATGTGCTGTTTCACCTCTTCCTGGTGGAAGCTACCCCAGCGTCTTTCCATCCTGGCTTTATTAGCTGGGCCCCACGGAGCTGTCGCTCTGTTTTATCTTCTTCCCAAAGCATGGACTTAGGGTGTGGTTAACCTCAGCAGAGAGTGGCTCTGCACGCTCCGTTTTAGAGGTGTGCAGGATCTGGCTGCTTCCGCGATAGACATTTTCTTGTTCTAATTTTTAAAAAGGACAAACAAATACAAAGAATTCATATAGTTTGCAGGGCGTTGGATTAAAGGTGGCGCACGCCTTTAATCCCATCACTCGGGAAGCAGAGGCAGGTGGATCTCTGTGAGTTCGAGGCCAGCCTGGTCTACAAGAGCGAGTTCCAGGACAGAATCCAAAGCTACAGAGAGAAACCCTGTCTCAAAAAAAAACAAAACAACAACAACAACAAAAGAATTCATATTGTTCTTCTTTGGCCCCGGCTCCCAACACTAGACAATATACTGATATTTAAGCCAGCAGGAGGTACCCCAGCCCTTCAAGGGCACAACCACATAACGAATGTATGCCCACTATTATTATTGTTGTTGTTGTTCTCCTTATGTTGTAAGTGTAGTCACTGCTTTAACCACAAAAGCTGGACTAGGCGCACAAGCCCTGAGAAGACTGGCTCCTCTAAGCAAACAGCTCCTCTAAGTCTGACGTGTAGTTCATGCAATGCAAAATTGTTATTATACCACATGGCACGCAAACCCAGCACTAATGGAAAGCAGTTTGCACAAATGGCTGTAATTAGCGCTGCATTTATGGAGCCAAACCGCAGTTTCCACTTTTCTTCTCACTTTCCAGTTTCAGCACTGAGTGGTTGATGGAAGGACTTCCCTGTCCCCTGATACTGGGTTCTATCTGCTTGGCTCTCCGTTCTGGGCCCCCGAAGGCGAGAGAGCTTTGTGCTCACAGACTCCTCTGTGATCCCAGAACTCAGCCAGAGTCATCTCTATCTTTTGCTGGAACCCCTCTGACACTCTCTCAGGTTCCAAAGCAAAACTCGGTCACAGCAAATGCATGAACTGACAACCAGGGGAGCTGGGTCGTCTAGAATCATTATTCACCGTTCAGCAAACGACATGAGCGTCTCTCGGTCACCCTGACCTCTTCAGGTTCCTCCTGCCATCTTGCCCACTCTCTTCCTACCCTCCACTCTTTGAGGAGAAGAAAGTGTTCTGTGTCCCATGACCCATTCTCGGCTGGGATCTGGGAAGCTGCAAATGCCCATTTTCCATGGGCTGGTTTAACCATGCCAAATGAACTCTGACACCAACTGAGGTGGTTTGAAGGAAAGTGGCCCCCAAAGGGAGGGGCCCTGTTAGGAGGTGTGGCCTTGTTGGAAGAAGTGTGTCACTGTGGGGAGCAGGCTTTGAGGTCTCTTTTGCTCAAGCTTCCCTCAGTGTGACAGTCAGTTGACTTCCTGTTGCCTGTAAGATGCAGGACTCTCAGCTCCTCGTCTGCCTGCACACCGCCATGCTCCCTGTCATGATCATAATGACTGAACCCTTGAAACTGTAAGGGAGCCACCCCGATTAAATGTTTTCTTTATAAGAGTTGCTGTGGGGGCTGGAGAGATGGCTCAGAGGTTAAGAGCCGACTGCTCTCCCAGAGGTCCTGAGTTCAATTCCCAGCAACCACAGGGTGGCTTACAACCATCCGTAATGAGATCTGGTGCCGTCTTCTGGTGTGCAGATATACATGGAAGCAGAATGTTGTATACATAATAAAAATAAAATCAAAATAGAAAAAAGAAAAAAAAAGAGTTGCTGTGGTCATGGTGTCTCTTCACAGCAATAAAAACCTTAACTAAGACGCCGATAAATAAACAAACAAATAAATAAAAATAAAGCTGAAGAGCTCTCCTTTGCCTGGGCCCAGTGTAGGTCCGGATGTCCTCACCTTCAGTCTGAGGGAAGTGCCTAGCCTTAGTGAAACAAGAAGGAGCTGAAGCAGAGCTCTGCCTGGGGCGGCAGCATCCAAGAGCTTGAAGCAGGAACTACCTGGGTTTTAAACAGACAGTTGTTGAGGGAGGAGCGTCATCCCAGGAAGCTGAGGGAAAACTTCAGGGGTGACTCAGAAAGCAACCCCCAGAGTCCTCAGAGACCCTGACTCTTCGAGTCCAGGTTTTCTCTTTGTTATGGTTGTTTGGTTGGTTTTTTGAGACAGAGTCTCTCTGTGTAACTCTGGCTGCCCTGGAACTCTGTAGACCAGGCTGGCCTTGAACTCAGAGATTCACCTGCCTCTGCCTCCCGAGTGCTGAGATTAAAGGTGTGTGCCACCACCGCCTGGCTCTCTTCGGTTTTTCGTTTTGTTTTGTTTTTACAAAATGATTTATCTATTTTATTTTATGTGTATGGGTGTTGTACCTACATAAATGTCTGCACACCGTATGCATGCAGTGTCTGTGGAGCCTAGAAGAGGGAGTCGGATCCTCCAGAGCTGGAGTCACAGATGGGTTGTGAGCAACCATGTGGGTTCTGAGGACCAAACTTGGGTCCTCTGCAAGAGCATCAAGTGCTCTGAATGTTGAGCCGTTTCTTCAGCTTCTACTTCCTTCCTCCTCCTCTTAATTAAAAAGCTTAATGTTATTTGTAACTATAGGTATATCTGTGCCATAGAGGCTGAAGATATTATTTCCCCCATGAGCCGTAGCTGCAGATGGTTGTGAACCCCCTGATATGGGTGCTAGGAATTGAATTGGGATCTTCTGTAAGATCAGTACATGTTCTTAACCTCTAAATGATCTCTCCAGCTTGTTTTCTTTTCTGAAACATGGTTTCACTATGCGAGTTAAGCTAGAACTCTCCATCCTCCTGCCTGGGTACCGGTATTGCTCCACCCCACCCCCTGAGTACTGGAATTACAGGTTTGCATCACCATATCTGGATTCAGTTCTAGAACTTTAGAGAGCTTCTGCTGATATGCTGTTGCCGTCAAGATCCTAAAACCTTGGGCAGTGAGAGCCTGGGAAAAGTGGGGGAGCTGAAAGCCTGGGAAAAGTGGGGGAGCTAAGTGTATCTCAGTCTTGTCTCTGCCCAGGCCATAGTCGCCCTAAGGCTGTTACCATTCCTCCCTTGAGGTAAACGCGCCCACTTGGTCTTGTCAGAAGCAAATCTGGGTGGCTCAACTGCATTTCTGAAATGGGACTTAGAGACGAACAGAGCCAGTGCAGGCCTTAGGTTTCAGTTTGGACCCGGACATTACCATCTTCTGGCTGCGAATGCCTTGACCATAAACCTGCTTATTTAAAATCCTTGACCCTCAGTTTCCTCACTCACTGAGTGGGGCTGATGGTCATGAGTTAGAACTTACCTCTTAGATAGGCTGGT